AWTWAMCSRWTKKTTYTAATAAGCGAATGGTTTATATCGTATATAATGCTGGCCCGTTCCGAAACAATTTGTTTCAATAAAGCGATTGTATCAATTATTCGTGTWCCTATAATAAGCGGTTTCTACTGTWTAATAATACCTATATAACACAGCGGGCAGATAATTTAGATAAGAATCAAATCGGTCTCATGACCACGGACAATTTTTACGAACTTTTTCACAATTTAAATCTTCCGTGTAGAGTATTGACCATGACGGTATTTTATCGAAGAGCTGAATTAGTAGACCAAGCACACTATTGTACTTAAGAAACGGATTTTTGAAAATGTGATGTAAAATGTTGTAGCTTCAACGTTAGGTTAAGTACCTATATATACTTATCATTAAATAGCATTATTTTTATTTTTCATCGAAAAATCATCACATGCGAGATTATGAGGTATTCAGATATCACTTCAGYAAGATTTGACCTTTTAAAATAAACTTCGAGTTCCAATCGTCTAACATAAAAACACAAATTCCTTTCGAAGGACAAAAATACCAAACTTCATATTTATTTTTTCATCACTAATCAGTATTTTATARTGCATCTTTTATTAGCATTACAATATTGTGTTGGAGCGCACTTTTAAAATCAATACTTTTACATGTTCAATCTTTTCATACCTTGAAAAACAAATATTGTTTTTAATTACAAAGGGATGTTGACTGTTGTTCTGAAATCATGGTCCGATCTTCGATGATCCATTTTATTTCCTGATCCACGATACCTATAAGTTACTACACAATATTCGATATTAATATGTTTATTTTATGAAGTTTATATATGCACRTTGTRAAGGTGTTTGAAAAAGCAAAGAAAATGTATCATTTATATTCTATACCAAAACTTGAAAAATTCTCGATTCATCGTCGTATTATATGTAGAATACTAACCTAAAGATCAGAGATTGAAAACGATTTTATAAAACGYAATAAAAATAAAATGTTATGAAACATGATGTACAGAGGTTCTAACAAGGCTCTGGGGCTGGTTTCAAAGTCGTGMCAAGGTAATATACAAACCGATTGTGTTTTATAAATAGCTTTTTCTCCTGTGCARAGAAGTCGTTAATGTGATKCGTGGGTTAGGATAACTAAGTTAGTTAGTTAAACTAACTACATGTAGGCCTTAGTAGTAACCACCTGGTTTAAGTTATCATAAAACATTCGTCGTTTTACCACCTCTCTCTCCCCCGTTATGGTTGACATTTTTGTCGTTGAAGAAGATCGCTGAAACCACGAAGAACCGAGTGGGCGAATTGAGGTCTTATGCGCCGAACTTGTGCATTGCATTTCTGCAGATCRGCGGAGGTGGTACAAAAATGTATCAACATAATGTATAAATAATTATATGTATAATGTATGCATTTTATCTCTTCATGACCGAAGAGAATTTMTTTTTACCTACTCACACATGAGACAAGAGGAAAGTGAAATGCGTACTCCGATTGTTTCGTCTGTGGACATCGAAATGCTATTTCACACTTTATTGTTATCTTATATTGCTTAATATAATATAGAGCCATTCTAAGGATGGATCATTAAAGATGGATTGGAAAAAAGAGTATAACGACTGTTTGGGATTAAGGTGACATGATTGGATAATATGCGTTTAGCATCGTCCGCGTTCGATTGGAAGTTGAATCATAACAAAAAATTTAATATTTAAATATCATTATATTTTTTTTAAACTAAAATAAGTATTTCAATTCTTACTATATATGTATATATATATTTTTTTTTACATAAATATATAATATAAAATATTATATTTTTTACATATATAATAAATAATAATATAATATAATTATGTCAATTCTAAAACTTAAGACAAATAGGTTCTACATTTTAAGTATCGTCTAATGTCTATCTAAATCTAATGAAAAAAAAAACTGTCGATTAAAAAAAAACAACACGGTCCTATATATATATATAAACTGTATATACAATTTTTTTTATAAAATATAAATTTTTTATTAAAACGACCGATTATATATTAGATATAATATAATATATATATATATATATATGTATATAAAATAAAAAAAATTGTTATTCAATCTAAATTGAAAAAAAGTCTCTTACAACACATCATATTATATAATAATAACAATTTATCATACAAAATGAATTCATTCAAACCTATGGAAAATATCGATTTTTCCATCTATCCTCTTGAGATCAGACAAATAATACATCATAGGTTGAACTACTCAGAGAAAATATTTTAACAATTGAGAACAAAAACCGCTCCAACTAGCCAGAGCGGAACAATTTTTTGAGCTATTATTTTTCATTTTTTTCTTTTTTTTTTTTTTATTAACAAGAAAAACAATTAGTCTATACAAGATATTTTCACAACAAAGAAGAGAAAATTTTTGTTCAAAATAACCTTGTGTAAAAAAATAGTTAAAACAATGAGATCGTTTCAGTCCCATATTGGAAAAAAAAATTCTGTTTAGAAATTAATATTATCGTTTTTATTATTATCGTTTTGTGATGCGCATAAACTTGAAATAAATTCTTGAAGAGCTCGGAATAAACGTTATATARTAATATAAAATAAGGTGATGTATGTATATAGTGCAAACAATCTATACCGATATACCCTACCCCTACAGATCATCCCCGCCATGAGACGAGTCACATAATAAATAATATCGCCTATATCATACCTGCGTATAAGATCGAATGGCAATACATCACTTTTGGTTAAATTTTGATTAGCGAATTGGAATTTGACAGATATATTTCTTTGGACAATGTAAAATTAGATATAAAGAGACCACTGAATCTTTGGATTTTTATTATTAAAATTGAGATCTTCTCGAAAATTGAAATACATTTAATCATGGAAAAAGATCGTCATATAAAAAAAAAAAAACGAATAAAAAAAATGTCTGACGAAAAATTTTTTCATTTTTTCCTTCACTTTGGTGATGTTTTTTCTTTTCTAACCACTTTTTTTATGATTTTTTCAACAAGCTAAAATTAAAAGGTTAAATGTATAATTGCACGTTAACATTAAAATCTAGAGCTAATACTAAACGTACAGACATTAAGCTACAATATACTTAACATAATATTATATTATGATGGATAATAGATAAGTTTTTTCATTATTTGTAATATAACGTAGACAAATAAAACAACAAAATTAGTCTGCGCATAAGCGGTGGATAAATCCGAACAATATTCGTGAAGGAGATCAAAAAACAAAACAGTATAAATATTAATTGTTTAAAAAAAAAATACATCATTTTTAAAATTTTTAAAATTTAAAAACATCTGTACAATAACGATGGGGAGGGGGATTGATAAAAAAAAAATTATACACATAAAATAATGTCATATAAGAACGTGCGTTATCAGGAAAATTCCTGAAGAAGATTATATATAATATAAATATAAATTATTATATTATAATAGTTAAGACTATCTATACTTGGGAGATCTCGAAATTTTGCGTCGAAAATGTGAAAAACTTTTGGGCATCAAATTATATTATTTTATTTTTTAAATTCTTATATTATAATTTATTATTTACTCAGCGTATTGCCTTTTTTTCCAATTTCGAATTAGATAGCCATCATCGTCGTCGTCGTCGCGACCGATGGGCGACTCCGCTTGTTCGCCGATTCGGGTTCGTCCAAGACTTTGTTCGAGCGCAATGTCCTGCCGGAAGCGCTCAACGGTCGTTTCTTGGTTTTGCTCATGAAATCTAAACGAAACAACAAAAAATAAAAACAAAGGTTAGTCAACATATCACAATAAATATTACCGGTTCAATAAATGTAATAATTATAATAATAATAATACTAATAATAGGTACAACACAAACTAGGATCGCGCACGTCATACGTCGAGGACGGTGGTGGTAGAGCTGTGAGTGTGTGTTGGGGGGGGGTCAGAGGAGGCAGGGAGAGGGGTGATCTAATTTTACTCGAGCGTCGTAGCGGGCCGAGGGCAGCGACCTCAACGCCCGGTCGTGAAGGGGGCCGAGGAGAGGGACGAAAAAAATACAATATACAAAAAATAAAAAACAGATAACAACACTTGGCCGTTAATGATAATAACGATAGTGGTATATCATATTATTATTACCGAGCACAGCTCTCTGGACCACGCCCATTTGATGCAGTGCACTTAGATCCGTTTGTACATGGGGTGGGGGRATTATACTATACACCTTATAACGATGATGGTAATAATATTATAGCAATAGCTATTTATTTTTATACTTTTTTTTTTTTAATCATCAATTTACACATCGCGTCCGAGAGCCGTCGTTATAATACGCGTGTTTTTTTCCCCCACCCAAAGTACAACAACAACAACAATAATAATAATACGCACATACAGAGAGCCGAGAGAGAGTGAGAGAGAGATAAAGTGTATATGTATAATAATAATATAATATGTTTATGTGCGCGTTGGCGTGTGTGTGTTGTTTGTACGAGTGTGTGGGACGAAAAAAAACCGGTCTCCCGAACACGTGTGCACATATGCAACGCGAGCTTATTATTATTAATATTACTATGGGCAGATCCTTGTAGTATGTGTGTATATTGTATATATGTATATATATTATTATACAGTGTATATTATAGTGAGTAGTGACACTCCTCTCTCGGGTCGAAATAAAAAAAAAAAATAATAATAATATTATGTCCTCGTACGCGTTCGTACGTCGTATACAATCGAACACATACACAATATTAATAATAATGAATTTACATAACCTAAAAAAAAAATATGCGCGGTTCCAACGAAAAAAAATTTCAAGGTCTTTCGACGCAGAAATCGTTTTCGCGCCATTTCACAATCGTACATCGGTGCCTACACCTACCTACTACCTGCCTATTATACTACTACTACCCATGTACCGCCGTCGTAATAATCGTTATTTATTAAACGGCGCGTTCATCGTACACACGACCCGTGCTTTTAAACGTATTTTTTTTTTTAAATTCATTACAGTTTTCCAAAACAATCGCGAGGCCCCACAACATACACCCCTTCGACGAGTCGAACACATTACGGGGAGGGGGGGAATGGTAGGATGGATTTTATCGAGTGAAAACAACCGGTGGGCGTACTGCTGATGATAGACAAGAGCGGCATATAAATCTCGTCGATTTTCGCTCGTAAAGCGACACGAACATTTCGGAAAGGGTTGACAGACGATAAGAGTGCTAATAACAATAACAATAATGGCCAATGATAAAGACGTAGCTAAAAGAAAAAAAAATAGCACAACCTACAGGACCTATTCCGAAAACGGATATCAAAAAAATAAGTCTCTCCTCCCCGCAGAAATATCATCCCGACTATTACGTTTTTCCCACAGTGTCGTGGCACCCTTCGACAGAGCGAGGGTTCACTGCACCCCTAACGCTCTGCGCAGGTGCCACCCATTGTGTTCTCGGATGGGGGAGCTCGAGCTTCACACACACACACACAAATGCCGGTTAAAAACGAATAATAATACCGTATTTACGCCCACGGGAAAGGAGAAAGACAACGGTCGTTACGCGGCAGAGAAAGTATCCGAAACAAAACCACCACCGTTGCGAAAAAAGAGCGTCTCAACTCCATGGACCACGTCCTCACTCCTAGTCCGCGAGAGAAAGAACGGATAACCCCCCCTACTTGTAATATTATTTCTATCGTGAATAATTATTGTTATTACCTGTGACTTTGGACTGTCGCTGCTGCTTGACGGCCGTTCGACGGCAATCTTGCTGTTGCTGTTGTGCTGTCGTAGTGGTCGTCGAGTCCGTTGCGGCCGCCTCCTCGCGACGCTTCGGTGGACAGACACGCTCCCACGCATAACGGTCGGCCGGGCTGTCGCGGAGCGGACGTTCGTTAACGAAATCAAAGTTCCACGACCGCGAGTCAGCCGCGGTGGCCGCGCACAATTGTCTATCAAGCCACGCCCGCGTCTCCGCCGGGTCGGCCGGTGGCCCGAACAGCACGCGCCTCACGCTCAACACGGACGCTTTGCCCGTGATTGACGCCGACCCATTGTTATTGTTGACGCTGGTGCTGTTGTTGTTGTTGTTGACGTTACTCAGGGAATCGGTTTTCGCCATGAGCACTCTCCTGCCGTTGTTAACGGCTCCTCCTCCGTCGGTGGTCGTCCCCGTCATGCCATACGTAACGGTCATGGTGATCGACGGGTTTAAATCAAACAAATGTAAACGAACGAACCGTAAAATGTATAACGTCAAACGACAGTTATACTGCTCCTCCTCTTCGAAGACAAGACAGTTCCGGTGTATCTCTTCTTCTTGTCCGTCACTGATCGGGTCCGCAGCTTTCGCGCACTTTAATCCGTCACACTGCAGCCCTGCTGCTGTACAGACGGCGGCAAAGTTCGCGCGAGTTGCGTTTTAAAACGGGTTGACGTCGGCGCACGCGAAACGAAAAAATTAAATATTTTTTCAAACAAAACAAACGATCGATTATCGAAAAATCACAACGGGTACCGTTGATCAATAACGTCGTAAACGGCGATGATATCGAGTCGCACCGAAAGCGGCACACACACACACTGTCACAAAAACGTATAGATACAAAAAAAATGGACGACGAGCGCGTAACGGACGGCGCGTGTGTGGAGTGTACGGCGAACGGCGAGAGAATGATTTTGTGTCCGGTGGGTAAGTCGGGTAAGAGCGTCACTGCCGCCGAGGTCACGTATACTATACGGTATTCGGTCGGCGGTGAGGAGGGGCGGCGGTCACGTCATCCACGGACGCTCGCGCGCACGCGCACCAACCTCGGTCTACCCCCGCCGCGCGCGCTCGCAACGGCGGTGGCGTAGTGCGCGAACGCACCGCCAACGGCGCGGCGCTCGTCGACCGTTGTTGTTGTTGTCGTCGTCGTCGTCGCCTTCGTTTAGTTCGTTTTCCCCGCGCGCTCACCGGTTCGTAGCGACGCCGATGACGGTGCGCCGTTGCGCGCGCGCTTTTTTTCCCGTCGGCCACGATACGATTATACGGTTGCGCATGCGCGAGTTTTTACTATAACCCGCGCGTCGCCGCCGTCGTCGCACCTACGAAACACACGCTAGTAATAATAATAATCATCATCATCGCGAGAGAGGAAAAAATAAAAAACGAAAGAAAAAGAAATAGTAGTAATAATAAAATCCTAGCCATGTGCTCGGCCGCCGGCGTGTGTGTAATATGTATAATATTATTATTATTATTATTATGTACAGACGGTGAGTCCCCGACGCTTCACGGCACGACGACGATAATATTATTATTGCCTCTGTCACACACACACACACACACAGTGTTTTTATAATATTAATATAACAGATGTAATGTGTGTGTGTGTGTGTGTATGTATACAATGAGATTCACGACGCCGTGCTGATTTCTTCGTTTCGTTTAAATCCCCTCGTCACGGATTACGCGCTAAGRCCCAGACCGACCAGTGTCCGGCTGTCCGGTCATCGTCATGCCCACATGTCGTCTAAATATTTACCAAAAACCGTTTAAATTATATTATTATATACCAGGTATATTATTATTGTGATGATAACTCAATACCACCGCGCTTGCCGAATTCACGATAACCATCATATTATAATAATATATCGGACTCGACCTTTTTCATAATAGTTTACAGATAAGTCACCGAAACCCTTTTCAGCATTATTCTTTTCCGTCACACGTGAAGCAAATATTTTTTGCAAATCTGAACACACTCATTGTTTGCGTACCTACATAATATTATGTTGTATGGCATCGTCCGTTGGCGTGCGACAACATAATAATACGTAGACGGTGTATTTCTTTCTACAATCTCTGAATCTCGGATTCGCCGGTTACAACAATCAAACGTAATTTTCTCACGCGCAGCAATTACCTAGTTTTATTTTTTKATGTCCAATTCGTGAGCCCGWCCGAGGAGAGTGATTGCAGAAGTCCGGTCGTCGTGTACCCCCACGTATAACCATCGGTTAAATCCTTTTCTCAACAAGGCTGATGTATAATATTATGATGACGCGCATCACCAGATGCTTTACACAAATGTACCTATTGTACCTACACATAATTTTGTATATTATACTCAAGTACTCATCTAATTTTCGTATTAATTAATCGTATGATAATATATTAATATTTTATGTAGATTCCCTTATACAACGACTATAAACACGTACGATTCATTTAAAATTTCAATCAAACTTGTTCTGATCACCTTGAAATATATTCCATAGATTATGACACAATTTAATTTAGATTGTTACCTCCGAATACATTACACGTGTGTATATAACTAATTAGTACAATATTTAACGTTTTGTTTCATTAGTAAAAATATTATCGCTGCTATTAATGAAGGCTCATCTTGTKAACTAAAATTAATGAGCAACTAAATATTTAAACGTATTTTTTATGATTAAAAAAATGTATCTCTAATATTTAAATGATAGAAAAACTTCAACCACCGTTCGAACGTCAATTATTAAAAAAAAATGACTACAGCGTGGGNCACATAATAAATAATATCGCCTATATCATACCTGCGTATAAGATCGAATGGCAATACATCACTTTTGGTTAAATTTTGATTAGCGAATTGGAATTTGACAGATATATTTCTTTGGACAATGTAAAATTAGATATAAAGAGACCACTGAATCTTTGGATTTTTATTATTAAAATTGAGATCTTCTCGAAAATTGAAATACATTTAATCATGGAAAAAGATCGTCATATAAAAAAAAAAAAACGAATAAAAAAAATGTCTGACGAAAAATTTTTTCATTTTTTCCTTCACTTTGGTGATGTTTTTTCTTTTCTAACCACTTTTTTTATGATTTTTTCAACAAGCTAAAATTAAAAGGTTAAATGTATAATTGCACGTTAACATTAAAATCTAGAGCTAATACTAAACGTACAGACATTAAGCTACAATATACTTAACATAATATTATATTATGATGGATAATAGATAAGTTTTTTCATTATTTGTAATATAACGTAGACAAATAAAACAACAAAATTAGTCTGCGCATAAGCGGTGGATAAATCCGAACAATATTCGTGAAGGAGATCAAAAAACAAAACAGTATAAATATTAATTGTTTAAAAAAAAAATACATCATTTTTAAAATTTTTAAAATTTAAAAACATCTGTACAATAACGATGGGGAGGGGGATTGATAAAAAAAAAATTATACACATAAAATAATGTCATATAAGAACGTGCGTTATCAGGAAAATTCCTGAAGAAGATTATATATAATATAAATATAAATTATTATATTATAATAGTTAAGACTATCTATACTTGGGAGATCTCGAAATTTTGCGTCGAAAATGTGAAAAACTTTTGGGCATCAAATTATATTATTTTATTTTTTAAATTCTTATATTATAATTTATTATTTACTCAGCGTATTGCCTTTTTTTCCAATTTCGAATTAGATAGCCATCATCGTCGTCGTCGTCGCGACCGATGGGCGACTCCGCTTGTTCGCCGATTCGGGTTCGTCCAAGACTTTGTTCGAGCGCAATGTCCTGCCGGAAGCGCTCAACGGTCGTTTCTTGGTTTTGCTCATGAAATCTAAACGAAACAACAAAAAATAAAAACAAAGGTTAGTCAACATATCACAATAAATATTACCGGTTCAATAAATGTAATAATTATAATAATAATAATACTAATAATAGGTACAACACAAACTAGGATCGCGCACGTCATACGTCGAGGACGGTGGTGGTAGAGCTGTGAGTGTGTGTTGGGGGGGGGTCAGAGGAGGCAGGGAGAGGGGTGATCTAATTTTACTCGAGCGTCGTAGCGGGCCGAGGGCAGCGACCTCAACGCCCGGTCGTGAAGGGGGCCGAGGAGAGGGACGAAAAAAATACAATATACAAAAAATAAAAAACAGATAACAACACTTGGCCGTTAATGATAATAACGATAGTGGTATATCATATTATTATTACCGAGCACAGCTCTCTGGACCACGCCCATTTGATGCAGTGCACTTAGATCCGTTTGTACATGGGGTGGGGGRATTATACTATACACCTTATAACGATGATGGTAATAATATTATAGCAATAGCTATTTATTTTTATACTTTTTTTTTTTTAATCATCAATTTACACATCGCGTCCGAGAGCCGTCGTTATAATACGCGTGTTTTTTTCCCCCACCCAAAGTACAACAACAACAACAATAATAATAATACGCACATACAGAGAGCCGAGAGAGAGTGAGAGAGAGATAAAGTGTATATGTATAATAATAATATAATATGTTTATGTGCGCGTTGGCGTGTGTGTGTTGTTTGTACGAGTGTGTGGGACGAAAAAAAACCGGTCTCCCGAACACGTGTGCACATATGCAACGCGAGCTTATTATTATTAATATTACTATGGGCAGATCCTTGTAGTATGTGTGTATATTGTATATATGTATATATATTATTATACAGTGTATATTATAGTGAGTAGTGACACTCCTCTCTCGGGTCGAAATAAAAAAAAAAAATAATAATAATATTATGTCCTCGTACGCGTTCGTACGTCGTATACAATCGAACACATACACAATATTAATAATAATGAATTTACATAACCTAAAAAAAAAATATGCGCGGTTCCAACGAAAAAAAATTTCAAGGTCTTTCGACGCAGAAATCGTTTTCGCGCCATTTCACAATCGTACATCGGTGCCTACACCTACCTACTACCTGCCTATTATACTACTACTACCCATGTACCGCCGTCGTAATAATCGTTATTTATTAAACGGCGCGTTCATCGTACACACGACCCGTGCTTTTAAACGTATTTTTTTTTTTAAATTCATTACAGTTTTCCAAAACAATCGCGAGGCCCCACAACATACACCCCTTCGACGAGTCGAACACATTACGGGGAGGGGGGGAATGGTAGGATGGATTTTATCGAGTGAAAACAACCGGTGGGCGTACTGCTGATGATAGACAAGAGCGGCATATAAATCTCGTCGATTTTCGCTCGTAAAGCGACACGAACATTTCGGAAAGGGTTGACAGACGATAAGAGTGCTAATAACAATAACAATAATGGCCAATGATAAAGACGTAGCTAAAAGAAAAAAAAATAGCACAACCTACAGGACCTATTCCGAAAACGGATATCAAAAAAATAAGTCTCTCCTCCCCGCAGAAATATCATCCCGACTATTACGTTTTTCCCACAGTGTCGTGGCACCCTTCGACAGAGCGAGGGTTCACTGCACCCCTAACGCTCTGCGCAGGTGCCACCCATTGTGTTCTCGGATGGGGGAGCTCGAGCTTCACACACACACACACAAATGCCGGTTAAAAACGAATAATAATACCGTATTTACGCCCACGGGAAAGGAGAAAGACAACGGTCGTTACGCGGCAGAGAAAGTATCCGAAACAAAACCACCACCGTTGCGAAAAAAGAGCGTCTCAACTCCATGGACCACGTCCTCACTCCTAGTCCGCGAGAGAAAGAACGGATAACCCCGCCTACTTGTAATATTATTTCTATCGTGAATAATTATTGTTATTACCTGTGACTTTGGACTGTCGCTGCTGCTTGACGGCCGTTTGGCGGCAATCTTGCTGTTGCTGTTGTGCTGTCGTAGTGGTCGTCGAGTCCGTTGCGGCCGCCTCCTCGCGACGCTTCGGTGGACAGACGCGCTCCC